TAAACTAATTTTCTTTGATTTTTGATTGAATGAAACTTCCATTTACAAGTTATGTAAGTGAATGAAATATTCTGACTTTTGGCTCATTAGCTATTGGCATGGACGATACCATAAACACAGGGTGGTTGCGAATCGCTTCCAAGGCGATTTTGAAACTGTGAGAACAAAAATTTAAAGGCCGTATTAATGCGGAGTGCGCGATGTCATACGCAAGGAGTCCCATAACTCAGGAGTCAGATGATTGTAATATTTGAACCATTTGGCAGCTTTCGTCACTTGGCATCGCAGGGTTAATTCGGGTCACTCGGTGTCTCTCCGACCGGATTTTTGTGGTTTGGGGAAATTTTAACTGTGATATCAGATCATCCTGGCTCTTTAAACACCCATGTGGATAGACTTTGTGCCCTAGTCCGAAATTCGAATTAGCAAAATTTTGCAATAATTTTTTGCGACGATAATGTTTCAGTGATTCCGTTTTCCCTTCGCACAGGCGGAGATTGTGGCTGTATAACGTTGCCCTCATCATTTGCGGACTCAGTGAGTTTTCCCGTTTCCTTTTCCTTTCCGTTCCGTTCCGTTCCGTTCCGTTCCGTTCGGTTGACTGCCCTTTTCGGGAAAAAAAATTGGCAACTTCCCAGGCGAAAGCTTTCGTCACGTGTGGAACCGAGAAACATGAATGAGAACCCAATCATCAAGTTTACTATCTTCTAATTGGCTTCAACAACGTGAAATCAATGTGAAAACAGCGTGAAATCGTTGGAAATGCCTTCATATCAAGGGATTTGTCATCGTAGCGCGAAGAAAACCGAATTTTGGCAGTAAGAAAGACCAAAAACATAAAAATATAAAAAAAGAAGGAAGATGCCTTTCAGCTGAACAGAGCTCCCAAAATTTCTTACTCTACTTTCGTGAATCAGTCCTCAGAGATAATCATTATCTCCCAGTATTAACTAAGAGAAATTATATCGGCTGGAATTTAGCATTGACATTAGGACGGCACTTCATTCGGTTCACACATGCCAAATCAAATTATGCAAATTGACAAAACCTGAGTGAGTTTAGCAAAATCGAGTGAATTTAGCAAAATCGAGTGAATTTAACAAAATCGAGTGAATTTAACAAAATCGAGTGATTTTGACCAAATCGAGTGAATTTGACTCGATTAAGTCAAGTTGGTCCGATTTGGCACTTGACCGAAATATCGGAATCGGCAGGTGTGGCGCTCACGACACGAGGCGGCTCGTACGGGGTCCTGGTCCTGACCACCTCGGTGTTCGGGTGCACCTCGGGTGCGTACGTGGGGCTGACCTCGGTGATCCTGGTGGACCTGCTGGGGATCGAGGTCCTCACGAACGCGTTCGGGCTGGTCCTGCTCTTCAACGGGATCGCTTCCCTCATCGGGCCCCCCATCGCCGGTGAGTAACGAGGCTTTCGTTTTCAAATGTCCCCAAGTTATTTCATTAAAATAATTTGGGGAGATTCCCTGGAAAAGTAGACACGAACTGGCTGGCCGGTTTCCATTTCTCCAATCGCCTACTTACGAGTCCACCATTTGTTGCTCTCAGGGGCCGTAGAGCGGGAAAAATGCCTTAGGCGGGAGCGTGAATAAAATTTTGGGGGATTTTTGAGCTCTCTGTATGCTTTACTGCTGTGATTGTGGTGTTAGGTGTGAATTCCGTTGGATTAGACCTTACATTTCCGTGCTGCCATGCACCACCAACATTCCTTAATACTGGATTTTCGCCAAATTGACACTTGCAGCAAGGGGGACCGCCAAAAAAGGTCCATCATCCTCGTTTATTTTTCTATTCATAGATCAGCGCCGAATTTACTAATTTGATAATCGAGAAGGTTTTCCCTTTTATTTCTCGAAATTCCGTGTCGCGATCGCTGCGAATTCCAGAATGAAACTCTCTTCGCCTTCTCCGACTCGACTCGGGAGCAGGAATTTCGACGGGGACGGGGATAGTCCTGCCTTTCCTTTTGGGCTCAAATCTGACTTAAAATATTGAGGAATATACTCATGTTTCGGAGTGGTTCCTAGAACTCGCATTTCTTCGCGCTCAAGTATGCCTTCTCGACGAAGAAACGTACCATCATCTATTATCGATGAGCTTCGGTGCTAGAAGAAATTTTCCTCCTTCGGAAGGTGGGTTCTCAAAGCCCTCAAGTTTCCATCCTTGAAATTTATTTTTGGAGTTCCACGGGTAATGCAGAGAAAAATTGTCCGTTCAGACTCCGTGAAATAAGAATATTATTCGCTAAGAAATTTCGAGCTGCTGGAGTGGCAAAGTCCTTCAGGAGCAAATTCGAGGAGCAAAAGTATTTTAGGAGCAATGTTAAAATCTCGTGGAGGGAAAATATTTATTGAATTACGTGCTGCCAGAGCTTTCCTTAATAAAGGTAATGATATCTTTCAACCCACTGAAAGTATTGGTCCTCAGAACTTCAAATGAAACTTATTTCAAGTCAGAAGGATTTTCCATAGGTTGTATGCAAGTGTCGGATTTGAATTTAAAAAAAAGGCAATCCCGGCAGGATGAGAAACATCATGTGTCATGAAAGACGAATATAATATGGAGTCTATAGACTCAATAGAAAAAGTTGTTGCTAAGAGGAATAAGTGTGCCTCTTAGTAACAACTTTTTGCAAATGAAAATGTTGAATTTTTGGAAACCGACTGCGTCTGAAATAACGATGCAACGGTAGACTTTTCCGAACCCGTTTCCTCATGTAAAAAGGCAACGCGTTTTCGTTTCTTTGACGTTGCGGCTGGTGCAACTAAGTCACCTCAGACGAAAATCTTCCTTTTCTACATTTTCTCCTCCACGTGGAGACGATTTGGCGAGTGAAAAGTCGGGCGAAAGGTTAGAAGAGGGGCATTGTGTGGCCTTTCAGTGAAATATGGTGGCCCATCTAGGCACATAAAATGTCGCCTGGTTTCTTCGACGGGCTGTAGTTAAAACGAAGTTTGTCCCAATGGGCTGGAAGGCCTTGGCATCTGCCCCTCGGTCAAATGGATATGTCCCAGTTGTCGATTCATGGTTCTTCACGCAAATATTTGCTGCCTACACCGGTGCATTTGAGGACTGGTTTCCTTGACCTGGTTAAGAAATATAGGTTTTCTGGATTTTTATGACACATTCAAGGGTGTATAAACTGTGAGACAACTGATTATTCCTCACACCGAAACGTATATCATCTGGACTTTCCCACGTTAAGGAGCTTTCTTAACAGTCTGAAAAACCGCCACCAATAATATTTGAATAAGATCTGTTAATCTGAATTAGGCATACTTTTATGAGACGTTCTCCTGGGCATGGATTTCAAGAGGACCGAATGTTTTTTAACGAAAGTTTTATTAGGAAATGGAATGCAATTAAGGTAATAAGCCTCTCTCAGCTCCGCATTACCTCGTACTGTCATGCTTGCTCTCACAAGCATTGCAATTGACTATGAAATAAATCATTCGCTCTAGGCAAGATGCCTTTTGATTCCACTTATTTCCTTGACTGTGTGAAAGTGCATAATTGTTGGAATAATAATTGGTGCAGGATGGCTGTACGACGGCCTGGGATCCTACGACTCGGGCTTCTACGTGGCCGGGACGGTGATCACCCTCAGCGGGCTCATGCTCTTCTGCATCCCCCTCGTGGAGACGCTGCAGGCGCCCAAGGCCTTCAAGGAGGGCCAGGAGGAGGAGGGGAGGGCGAAGGTTCATCACACTCTGGCGTATTACAGAGAGAGGCTGATCGAGGAGAGGGATCGGACCGACTGCGATATGTAGATTACGTGCTTGTGATGGGAGAGTCGTGGTGCGTGGTTTCGTGGCAGTGCCTTATTCCAGATGAAATTTTTTTGCCCGGTGTTCGTTCTATTCAGTGACGGTGTTCATAGCGGCAAACGCGGCAGTGGCCTTTAAAGGCGATTGAATTATTTTTTCAGCTCCTGTGAATAACAAACATTCGAAATTAGCCTACTAAACGCTTCGATTGTGGTAAATGGTTCGGTGAGATGGAAATGCTCCGACTTTGGACGAGACAATTTAAACTTTGTGTTGAAGACAAACCTAAATCTGAAGTTGGAGCTCATTTCCATTACGCGAAGATGAGATGTTTGGCTTCAAGGGATTTTTTCATCTCTCCATTTAATTATTTCTAACTGAATTTTTAAAATGTACATTCCATTCATCTCACGTTTGAATCCTTCCAACAACCGGGGTGACCCGATCAGCTACGTACTGTCAGTATTACAGGAAAGAAGTAAAAAATTTATATTTAGTCTTAGAGTCAAAATGACACAATAGCTCTCTCCAAAGCGAATAAAATTTGACATTGGAGAACTTTCGTTACCTGCATTTAATTGAATGATTCATCAGCTGGAACACATACAAATATATACAGTACATGGTCTCATTGCATTGTAGATGATAGAGAATCAGGCAATTTCAATGCAATCCTCCGATCAATTGACTCGGACGCATGTGAGGGCACTCGAGTCCTTTGAATGCTGCAGATGCCTTATAAACCTGCATAAATGATTTTGTGATGATGCACTATGGTTGATGGGCGGATGTCAGAATAGACGAGGTGGATTGTCGTCCGAGTCCATGGCAGAAAAGTTATACCTCCTTTTGTTATGTTGGCGTTCTCTTCGAATTCACCTTTCTCGTCCACTGAGACAAAACTTTTTTTTGCCTGAAGACAGTGTTGTATCGCCTTCCCATGCAAAATAATGCGGATGATTAAATGCAAAAATCCAGCTGATGACCTCATAAACATTTACGGACACTTGGGACAGAGGGAATCAAAAGGACTATGGAAAAGTCAGGGCAAAGCCGTCCGAAAATGAATTACATCCCAAGGAGCATGTTTATGTAAGCAATATATTAATATTTTTTGCAAAGAATATCAATTTCTTGCGATTGTCATGCAAATCATGTCAATTTCATATAAAACTTAAATTCCACTATTTACATCACCAACGTGGATGTGTACTTCCTATCAACTAGACATGACTTCACCTGATAAGAAGTACATGATATAAAGTTAATGCGAAAAATACACCACATCATCCATATTAATCATTATGTGACTCTCCTGCAATTGCAGTGCCAAGAGTCCTCATTAGATGGAACCCATGTTCCCAACTCCCTACAAATGCAATTAAGTATCTGCTTTCCCAATACTGTATCTGGTTTTCCTTCCCGATTTCCTCTTTTTATTGTGCCATTTATAAATTGATATGAGGAAAACAGAAATTCTGTATTCCTCACATCAATTTGCAATCATATCAAATTGCAAAGAAAATATAATTATTATAATTATATTTTCTTTGCAATATATGTATCAGGGAATTATTAAACGTCGAAGTTTAGTACGGGAACGTAAGGATGTATGGAATAAGAAAGGATAGAAAGCTCAACTCCTCACACACTTCACCTCTTATAGCTTCTCAGCAAGGTTTTACGTAGAAAGCCTTGCCCAGGCTCTCATGTTGGATGCAGAAGAGAGGGGCCGCAGGTCATCTTGGTACTTTTGGGTAATCTTCTGAGTACATTAGAGCTCCAAGGCGTGGAGGCGAATCGGAAATGCATTACACCATTAATTCCCTTCAAAGCTGGTGGTTTACTTACTGCGAAAATTCACATGAACGTTGGACAAAAAATTAACATCAATTTTGCATAATATTAATATAAACATGCTTCTTGGAATGTAAACAGGAAAGTCAATTTCATTAAAAATTCTCGTCAATTTTATTTCACTGTTTAAGCGTCACAGAGATGACATTTCTGCAAACATGTTGACAATAGCATGAAGGTTTGCATAAAATAGATGTAAAATGAGCAAAAAACTTAGTTAATTTCATGGAATATTGACATAAGCATACTGCCCCAGATGTTTCTTAAAATTTGGAAAGGATGCAACATGTAAATGGTGAGACTGCTTAAATAAAACTCTATGCGCGTAAAGTTAGTTCTTAAATTCTTCTCTTTTCCAACATCAAAGTGAGTGGAATCGCTTCTCCTCATAACTTACATAATCTGGGCAATTATGAATTTCATGCACGTGCGCAGAACGTTTCAGACTTATTCAGTTTATTCTTTCGCCAAGGCGCATATGAACTTGAAATATTTTCCTCCGTGGTCACCTTGAAAAGGCACATTCAGTCAATAAGCTCTGGTACCATGGTTTGACACAATCCTTACGTGGGGAGAGGGGCACTTTCCCCCCAACTCCTTGCAGGAATGACTGTGTGACCTAAAATCTAGGGAAATACCGAATCGTGCCGGTTTTTCAGGAACTCATGGACGGGTTATGTCTGCATCGTGTTTATGAGATAGGGAATGAAATCAAAGGAAGCTCTCGATTTACAGAGACGGGCAATGCAGCATGCACAATACATTTCAGAATCGTACTTTCCCTATGAGATTTTCTTCAGGACATAACTTGGGGTAAATTGTATGCACTAAGGAATTCCCACGAGAAACGATTGTCCGACTTTCCTCAGGGCCTCTGTGAACACCTGGAGTCCCCTCGGACCTTTCTTGCGAACGCTTTTGAGGATGGCTTCCCTTTCACTC